ACATCAAATGACTCCATATGGGAATGGGAAAAAAGCAGATCAGAAAGATATTGCTCAAGTTCATCAAATTCATTCCCAACTTGAGTATTGTTAACATTAAGAAAGACATTGAAATCGACCATTTCTTTATCTTGAAGAACATCTGAAAAATCATCTAACATTGTCGTATGCTGCATATAAGTTGAACTGTAAATAGTCTTAATTCTACAATGATAGAGAATTATTAAAAAATGTAATTAATTAATTAATTATCAAAGGGATCACCTAGAGTTAATAGATTATATCCGGATTTTACCTTTAAATCCAGATTTAATTATTATATCCAGATTTAGTTAATAGGTCCATATATATCTGTAATATCCGGATTTAACAATGATGTTTACATACGTACGTACTAATCTTTTTATATTTGAAACCAATTTATAATGTGCCTGCATATTTAAATCTGGATATTATGTCTATATTTGAATCTATTAATTAAATCTGGGTATAACAATTAAATCTGAATATAATGATTAAATTTGGATCCAGGTATTAACTCTAAGATCAGCTATACTGCAAACCGTTTAAAAAAATGATAGTGCACAAGATAAGCTAGAAAGTTCTGTCATGACGAAATTTAAAACAATAATGCCCTTACCTTGACTTAATTGAAACCAACATTTCCTCTGCATCAATATATAACAAATTCATCTTCTTCTTATATAGATAAGTCAATAATGACATTTTGTAACGAGGGTCCAATATCGACGCAATACAGTGCATATCACCCATTTCTGCCCAGTATTTATCAAATTTAGATTTCATTGGCTTGAACATTTGAAGAAGAAAAGGATCTGAGTTAGCACTATTTCGTTCGATGTACATTTTAATTTTTAACAATTGAGGAAGGAATAGATTCGCAGTAGAGTAGGTGCTTCCTGATAAAAGGTTGGTAACTGCATTAAAGTATAGAATAATTAATCTGTGATAGTATTAAAATGGAAAACAAAATTCAAAGTTTGACATTGCTTACTTTCATAAAATGGTTTTAAAAATTTACAAAGGTTTTTGGCTTTTTCCCAATCTTCATCAAAAGGTGCAATTAACCCAAAACTATTATCACAGGGTGCAAGACGATCAAATATACTTCTATACAGGATGGTAGATTCCAACATTATATATGTTGAATTTTAATGAGTGACCAAATCAAGAGCTGGTCTCTGACTTGAAGCAAGCTTATCACTGAACCCCGTAACATAGTCCTCGAAGATTTGCTGACGACGTCCTGAGCTGTGAATCCAATTCACACAACCTCGGATCTGTAATATTAATGGCAAGTAAGTATGTCAACTCTCTTTAAACTGGACCAAACATCGAACTCTAGCCGTAATGAGCTAAAAAAATAAGAACATTATATTATAGCAAAATTATTATCAATTTAATTTATCAAAGTTATGATTTTCAAATGTTGCTTTTTATCTTGATATATACTAACAACATTTATATTTTATAAATTAAAATTGTACTGCTTGCTAATATTATAACTCATAATGCTGCAAGTTCAAGCTTAGGTTTGATTTTGAAGCAATATATGGTGGCAATGAGG